TATTAAGTATTTAATACTAGAGCCTTTCAAAAGCTTTGCATGCAATTACCTAAAACACATTGCTGCTCATTTTGCTTCTGGTGCAACATACTCCAAAACTCAACAGTGCAAGAGATAGAAAGTATGGTGGAAATTGCCATCTCCAACTGAAGAAGCAACTCTGACAGCAGAGAACATTCTTACAAGTTGGTTCCACTGAGAAAACTATTAAAACAGGAAGGTATTAAATACAAGGAAAAAAAAAAAACAGATACTCAAGTTGGAAACCATCCAGACTAAGAGAGTTAAATACCAACATTTGTATGAAGAGTGCCATGGGATTCTTTAAAGATTATTTCAGAATGTGAGCTGTGTTTCTCATCCACAACAAGGCGTTTGCACTAAAGAGTGGCTGGTGTTAATTTGGCATTCCCTACTCAATTATTGAATGAGTCCATTCCTGCTCTGCTTGGGAAGAATAGCAGAACCTGACCATCCACTAAAACGATTACTTAAATGCATGGATTCTTCTGCCAGAATTCCTCCCCTGGGAAGGTGATTTTTAATTTTTATGGGTACTATTAACCTTTTGTGAACATTCTACTACAGAGAAAAAAGTGCAAAACAAACATCTAAAATTGGAGAGAGCTGGTGTAGCAGAGCCTCACTGTAAATGAGGGGAAAAAAAATAAGCCACAGGAGCACTTACTGCCCCATACACACTGCTGATGAAGGTTGCCCATTTCCCTCGGCTTTGCCCTGTCCCAGATTTCAAGGCGCTTCAGGTCTTTTGGACCACACTCCCAAGCCTCATAATAAGCTGTTTCTATCCAAGCTCTAAATGTTTGCATCAACTTCCATGACAAGTTCTCTGCAACCAAGGTAATTCCCTAGTCAAGGACTCAGCAGTACTGCAAGTGCAATCGGTTTTCTCTCCACCACCCCTTCCTGCCTGAGGACCCTGGGGAAATGCCTTCTCCTCTCAGGTCCTAGCCCAGCCAGCCTCCATCACACAGGAAGGGCTCCTTCCCAGCTGGGATGCTCACCTTTTGCTGTCTCCTTACATCATGGCGCCTCTCTAGGGAAGCAAAAGGAAGGCAATGAATAGATGAGACCTTCCTGAGGCTTCTCTTTGATGTGTTTACTTCCCTTTTCCTCTCATCCTCCCCATCCATCAATTCATCCCTCTTGTATTTTGCCGGTATTTACATTTTTACCCACATAGTACTGAGATTGATTTTTTCTAACAGTAATTCTCAGCAGCTAAAACCAATGTGTTCTGAACTCATCAAGCTACTGCAGTTTGTGTAATTTGATTGCCTCAAATGAATTATTTTAAAAGAAAAAGCTTCCAACATTTTTGATGATATACTGAGCCCTGAGTCTTCAACTCTGGCACCTAATGTTCACAATGTTTATCTGAATATCAAGCTATACTTTAAAAGCTATATAATAGCGGCAGATGAAGCATCACAGCAAATTGTTTCTATCTTCTACCGTAGCTAACTTGCTCCATAATAACATGGTTCACAACTTATAGTTCATTTTAACAAATCCCATAAAAATCCTCTGATGTGCTCAAGTCTCTATCAGCTATATGACTTAATGATCAATTCACCAAAAGACATCAATGGAACAGTTTAGGTTCTGCAGTGGAGGTGGATAAATGCAGAAATCCCTGTGAGGATATTAGCTGTTTACTACCTTATAAACACAAGGGAATGCCGTGTGACACAGAGCAAGTCATCTATAGCTCTTCTAGTCACTACAAATGCCAAAACTAGCAGTATTTTTTCTTTCTGATGCTCAAAAAAATATTTACTCAGTAAGTTAATTACAACAGAAGAGAGCATTTAGGAGCCAGAACATCTTTCTCCATGTACAGCTGCCTTAAATGTACAGTCATTCACCCTGCAATTATCCCAGCATAAGGACAGCTGTGTAGGGCTGGAATGCAGGTAGTGGCTTCTTCCGTAACCCCAGACTGACCAGAGGGCCTCCAGGTTTACATCTATGACACAGGAAATTTATTTTTCAGACCTTTATGAAGGAACCCCATACAACTGCCCTTCTGCTAACAAAACAAACAAACAAACAAAAAAACCAGCTGAATTAGTCCGAAACAGATTACAGCAATAGTTCAAACACTAACACTACTGTCTTCCCAAAATAGCATCTCTGTTGCTTGTCACTTATATTACCCAGTGTGGTACACGCTTCTCAATACATCACTGGAATGCCAGCCTCAAACCTATTCTGGCCTTTGTTTAGCTTAGGGGTAAGGTAAACCCCAAGAATGAGGGGCTAGGGAGAAAGACTCCTAATCCTATGCCCACAAAGCAGCACTATACTGTTACCACAGCTACTATTTCTCCAGAGCTGGCTTTTCTTAATTTGCCTGCTGCAGCTAGACAGACTCACAAATGCAGAACCTAGGAGTCCTTGACTCTCGGGTGCAACCACTCACTCCCAGGCAAGGGCCACTGTTAATGTGCCTACAGTAGGGTCAAATATTAAAAGCTTTTAGCAGAATATACTGATAGGTATATGATACTGATAGGTAATTGATACTGACAGGCAAATGAGATAACTCCCCACAGATAATCCAATAACGGAAAAAACGTAAGTATTTTGTTAAAAGTAAAAAATGATCATCAACTCCTTTCCCTAAATAAGGTTTCTGTTAATTTACTGAAGAACAAGACATTCAAATACAAACCTTGACAAGTAATCAGCAGATTGCACAGCCCTGCCTCGCTCACAGGAGCCTCAGCTGTTCCCCTCCTGGGGTCAACATTGAAGAGGAAGCACAACTATTCAAATGCCATCAGAGGTATCTTGCTTAACACAACATACATCGCAGCCGGCCAATGGCTGCCCTGAATTTCTTTGAATGTTCCATAAACAAAATAACTCTTGCCTTTAAAATAGCAAATATAAAAAAAAGCTTGAATATTAACTCTGAATCTAGACCACTGGATAGAGGCATAGGAAGCTTGTAGCCCTCATTCTCAGATACGTACTTTGTGAATTCCCAGCTAAAGGAAAAGTGTTGCTTGGTATACTGCACTCCTATATACCCACCAACCACACACACACATTGTTTATGTGGTAGCTGTGATCCTACTTACATGCTCAGGTTTCCATCAGAAAGAAACCCAAACACACAGTGCAAAGGTGCATATTTCAGCCCCTCTCCTACCACTAAGGCAAGATACAACCAGAGCTCACGTGCGGCCAGGAGTCTGCACTGCAGAGCAGTCTTCTCTCAAAATTAGGTCAGCTTAAAGTAACAAAATTTGCTCTGCAAAATTATGCATTAGATTTTGGGTGGGTTTTTTTGTTTGTTTGGTTTGGTTTGTTTCAGGTTTTTTTCCTGAGACACCAGCAACAGTGTTCCCAGGCCCCAGAGTGTATCTGCTGTTCAAGACTGCTTTGTTTTGTTTAAAGGAAGTTTTATGGTTCCTAAAATTGAAATTCTTATTTTTTTCCCTCTCTACCAATAACCATCTAAACCTTCATAACTGTCACATATTAATTTAGTTACTACAGATTTGCTTTTAGGGAGGGTAAGAGAAGGGAAGCTTTTCACCCATGAATTAAGAGGATCCTTAACAAGAACAGAAGTTCACTGTGCAAATAAGAATTTGGAAACTCAAGTCTCCTAGGATCAATCTTCCTCCGCTTCTGGCTTAAGAGCATAATCCTGACATTTCACTGTACTTGCAGGACTAAAATGTTTGCCCTGTGGATATGCCAACACTGCAAGCAACTGGGTAAAAGCCAATCACTCTGTAGGTTTCATCGTAATTTAAAAATACCCAAAGCACCTCACTAGTACATCTGCGCAGCAGTATAAATCAGTCTGTTTCATAAATGGTTTCATCTACCTGTCTGTCAGCAGAGAGATGAAAAAGAATATCGACAGCATAACTGGGCACTTAGGTAAATCGGACAAAGATTATTTGGAATCAGTTTAGTTAAGTCTTTTCTCTCCCCACAATAAAATTTATTATTCCTCCCTTCAGTAAACAACCTTTGGCAGCCATGCAATATTTTGCAGCTGTCAGTCGAAAAGCAGTCAAAGAAAAGGGAAGATAACAGATTTTGGAACTCAGCACTCGTTCTGTATAGACTTTTCTGATTACTAACAGTTTTTGATGTTACTTTGTTAAAGCTACTTGTTATGCATAAATTGGCTAATTTTTTTCTAAAATACTGCTTGTAAATTTGTAAGTATTTTCTGTTTGACTTTTTATCTTTTTGTTAGCATAAAACCCCACAACATTTCGCTTTTTCCCATAGTAATTGTTAAGCGCTTACAACCTTTCACAGAAATCCTGTCAATACAAAGTGGATGTAAATAAGTTTTCAAGTGAGTAGCAGTAAGTTTAACTAAGCTAGCAATTTATGGAAAATGGCTTTAAATACATAAAAAGTCATCAAAGCTTCTTCTGAAAAAATACCTTTATCTAAGAATGAGAACACATAATTAAACAATTCAAATCTTAGTTATAAACTGGTTTTAATTAAAGGCAATCTGACTCATTTTAACTATGTATAAATTTAAGCCAGACAACAAATTTGTATCCGTTTCTAAAATATCTGTCACTTCTCCACAGTGGCTGATCAAACTTGCCAGTGAAAAACGTTCTGAGTAGGCAACTTGTAATACAGCTATGGTTTACTTCTGTCAGAGGCTGACTGCTGAAGTGTGAAAGAAACTCATTAAAAACCTCTCACTGTGATCCTGCATTGCAAGGAAAAAAAGAAAAGAAATACTTAATGAAGGGTACCCTTAGGCTGAAGCCACATTCATATTCTGCTTTTCATGTTACACTATTTCAGTAAGCAATTAAAAGACAGCAATTAGTCATAGAAACACTATTCATACTGGTCATACTGGGAGATTAAAGGGGTTAACACTTATTTTATGTTAATATTATGAAAGTAATGAGGGAGATCAAGAATAATACAGCCTACTAAAAAGAAATACTAAAACAAGTAGAAGAATCTCTTACCTTAATCTTAAGACAAGATTCACTGCACATGGAACTTCACTATATTCGTCACTAACAGCAGGCTGAGACTATTAAAAAAGAAGAAAGTCTTATAAGAGATGCCAAGGCGGGGGGGAATCCCCAAATACTTGCCATGCTAACAGTTTGTAGTTAGCACAGAATATTTCACACATCTTCTAACTCTCAAAAACCTTTTAAACACTTTCAGTAACACAGCCTAAAATATAGCTGATACCAGTAAAACTGCCATATTTCAATTACAGAGATACAAATGATAAGACCTGCATTAAAGCACTGAGTGTAAGAGCTTTTAATCCACCTTGCATCAAAGCTCCAGTAACCTATTAAATAATATGCACACAGTGAAAATACCATGCTACTACTCACATTATTTTTTGTGTAACAGTTTTGGTTGTTAAGGAAGTCTTGCATCTACCCATCTGCAAAGAACTAGCAGCATATCAAAGCAGACATCACAGCTCGGAGAATGTCTTTCACAGAGAAAAATTAGGAATATGGGTATCTTTCACACTATCACTCCTCCCTCACACTGTGATACCTTCCCCAGCTCTCAACTAGCATTTATATGAAGTCTCAAGCAAAAGTGTGTCCTACATACAGCATTGCTCAGCATCGTCTACCCTGCTACGATTTCATACTTAACTTGGCATATTGCCACCACTCACAGAAGCCTGTTCAAAGGTTACAGTCAACTCCTTCCAAAACAAAGACTTGCATCACAAATTTCATTTGTTTATTTTCCGATAGTTTTCCATATTAAAGCTACTTAAAAAAAAGTGTTACACAAGGTCTTGCATCTATTTTATTATCTATGTATTTGAAACAGAAGTTAATGAATATTTGGAGAATTATTTAATCACTAAAGGGGGAGTAGATTTTTTTTCCTACTCCTATTAAGTTCCTCCTCTTCATCTAAACTACTACTGTTATTTCTGCATCTGTTATTTCAGTGTATAGGAATGTGAAGCCCAAAGACCAACAGACACACACTAACAGTGACTAGCTGCACTTGTCTTAGTTCCAAGTCATCTTCTGGAGTGTTTAGGAAAACAGAAAAAAAAAAAAATAACAGAAGATTTCAAGCAGAAGCATTTTTCTCCTTCATAAACTAAACAGCTCATAATAAAAGAGTTACCTGTATAAACTGCACAACTCTGAAGTTCTAAGACAAAAGGCTGTCTGGTGAAAGTCCTTTATTCCCCCCCCCAACTCAGCTTACATAAGACATCTCAAACACTGAAGCGCTGTGTAAAATAACTCTACAACAGTAAGACTAGGGTCATCAGAGGAGCTAACAGGACCAAAGCTGGCAGGAAGCTGTTGGTCTTTTAGGAGATTTCTATGACACCAATAAAGATCAGAGAATCTAAAATGGCAGGTGAAGCGGCAAGGGTCGCCCACTCAAGGAATAAACATTTTTAAAACAGCATTTTGGCTGTAAGCCAGTAATCCTATTAAGCAGTTATTTATAGCAGTTATGCTTCCCACAGTTTCAGCACAGGGCCTTGAAATTCAGTATGGTATTTTATTCCTCTGAATTAATTTACTATGCCACAATACTGAACTATTTTACTGTATATGGGATGACACATTTTAATTATAAGCTACATGTAATGATACAAATCCTGAGAATGAAAAATTATTTGGAGATCTTCTGGCTACTCCAATACAGACATTATTACTCTGACGAAAAGATAGAAATTAGTGTGATCCAGTCATGAAGATTCATTGAAAAACAGCCAAATTACCTATCTTAACCAATTCTCCTGGGCACAAACATAATATGGCTTTAAATTTCCTATCCATTTTACCCAATGTGCTCAAGTTAATTATCACAGGCCCAACTGCATAGCTCTATCCTCACAAGTACTTGCCATACAAGGCTGTAGAACAACACTCCCACCTCAAATCACATTTTTAACAACAGAAATTAAAAGGAAAGCCCTTCACTCAAATACTTGGAAGAAAAAAATAAATTGATAAAGACATTTTTACCTCTGTGTTCTCCTCGTCTTTTACTCTTCGTGACTGGAAAACAAATGCAGTGAGATATGAGCTATGCAGCTTTATACATTGAAGACCCAGAAATACTAACATGACAGAAAATCTTTCAGAGGGCAAATGGTACAAGCAAAAGTTACCTTTTCCTGAGAAACAGCAGCTTTGCCTTCTTCGCTCTTCTCATCCATTTCATCATCACTCCATTCCCAGTCTCCATCTTCTGTTTTATGGAGGTGACCACTGGAACCCGGTACTCGTCTGACCTTCCAAAATATTACAGGTGTACAATTACACAGACATCTTTAATCTTTATCAGTGTTCTGGTTAATCAGCAATTCTTTGTTACTTTTTTCCTATATGCTTTCCTTAGTTTGCTGCAGGAGTCACTGGCATACTGGAATAGTATCTGACCACATCCTTAAGCTAGTGGGAACAGTAAGATATGCAAAATTCATATAGGAAAATGGGGTGAAGCTCAGGTAGATGACAGCTGCTTGCTATGAACTAACCATTGACATGAAAGGAAGCTCTGCAAGGAAGAGGTTACACAGATAAGGTTGCTCTTGACACACAAGTCTTAAAAACTAATTGTTCTGCTAAAAAGCTTTAAAACATGTAAATGTGTTTAGGATACTTTAGAAGTAAAAGTAATCCGTAGTTAAAGCAGTGGCTGTATGCAAACTGAGAAGGCAGGCATGCAACACCAAACTAGTTGGCAAACTGTAGATCAAACAATCTAAAAAGGCTTAACAGGAGGATCCAATGGCTAAATCTGAAAACTCTTCTGATGCCACTGTGCTCTTCTTCAGAGCTTGACAACAAGCCTTGTTTTCCCCCAAATTTTTAGTCTGTTTGAGCAAAGCAAAAGAACATCCAAGAGTTCTTCCCACACCTTGGTATACATTTATGAGACCCATGAGATGTGAGCACAGTAAGAAGCAGCCCCACTAGTGTTTAGGTTAGAGCCAGTTTCTCTAATTATTTCACATTACTGATCCAATAGAGAGTTCCCGCTGCACAACTTCAAATGCTCCCCAGCACTATAAATTTATAAAAGCTTAAAGCATATCCTTTTCAATTATGAAAAAGGGAAAAAAAGTTATTCAGCAAAACAGCCTATAGATTGGTAAGAGAACGAAAGGAACAAAGCATTAAGTGTTCACAGCACACAAAAGGGAGAACTAAGTCGGCAGAAAAACAGTTTCAGGCCAAGAACAACTGCTGCAGAAGACATCTAATAAAAAGAACTTCTTAAAAAAGTATTAACTAGATGGTCTTAGCCCAAAATCGTATATCCTGTTTGCCAGTATCCACAGTAACATACAAAAGCCTGGTTCAAGTTTGGCTTCACAGGTTCCTGTCTGTGCTGCTTTGATGTATTGCACTGAAGTATACTGAGCACTGACCAATTTGGTTCTATCATCCTGATGATTGGTGGCGGTGATGGAAACCCACTCTGCCAGCATGGCAACCTCACAAAACAGGAAGATGTTAAAAAAAAAAAAAAAAAAAATCTCATTTCTAGAAAGTTACTGGGTTTTCAATATAATGAAGCTCACAAAGACTAAACCGGTATTAACAGTGATCTAAACCCCTCCAGTTGCCGCAAACCACAATGCCAGGAGAGATGCAGCATGTGACAGATTCCAGCTGCTTCAAAATCCCATTAGGCAGTACTTCAGCAAAATATGCATGGCATAAAACAGTACAGGACACTCAAAGCCTAACACTTGTGAGCTTCCAGAACACTGTGTGATGCAGATATCAATAGTTTTTCCAAAGTGGCTTTTCATAAGGAGCTGGGTACTTAAGCTATTTCCCTACTTTTGTTGCCAAGCACAATTTGGAGCTGGCTGGCCTGACACCACAAAAGCAGGAGCGAATATGAATTTAGGAGCCTTCTTTCAAAGCCTTGTGCATCCTCAAGCAGGTAACTTGGTGTCTGTCTGCACTCTTTTACCTATCTTCCTTCCTACACTACCCAAACACCCATCTGCTCTTCTCCCTTCCCTTCTGCACATAGAAGACTGAGCTAGAGGAAAGAGTGAAGTTTCCAGAACCCCAGTGCATTTCTGTACCTTCTTTTGTCCTTATGATAATCCTCCATTACACTTCTTCCCTGCACAACCATATGAGTGCCCTACTCAGTTTCTCCATCTTTTGTATTCATTTGTAACTGAGAAGAGGGGAAACCTATGCAGGACACTGGGGAGAATATTCCTACTCCATCCCTCAAGGGACAAAATCAGCACTATTTTCCCTGTTTCCCATACTAGGCTCCTAATGCACCAATTTTAGCTGTAGCTGCCTCAAAGCTCAGTACAAGAAGCTCATGTGTGTTTAGGGGGGAGGGACAAGCAAGAGTCAACAGAAACAGTAGCACAGCAATTTCTTACTCAGCTGCAATCAGCCCAGGAGCAATCAGTGGGCCCTTACTACCTACATCCTCAGGGATTAGCACAGACACAAGGTAATCTAGCAGGCAATTTGCCTTGTTCTTGTGGATATAATTTATTATCCTTCCAGAAACAGTCCTGGCACAGGCTTTTCTTTAACAGCACAAGCATCTTCCCAACAGCTATACTCAAACCTATGAAAGGACATCAACCACAGCCAAAGCAAGCTGTTCAGACAGACTAGAATAGAATGGTTTACAGACACAATCACACACTACATACTGCTCTAATCAAAATCTCTTCTGCATCCATTTTCAGTTGTTCCGAAGACTTATTCTAACTAGAATGATTTTAATGGAGCTTAATGATGCTGTCAGAGAGTTCTGGGAGAAAGCTTTACTGATGAAGATGGAGTGCATTTCAAGTTTTAAATAGATTGCCTTTTAATAAGCACTAAACACATGGCTCAAGGAAAACAAAGTAAGTTACTCCAAAATAAAATACCATGTTAAATTATTTTCTTAAAAGGTGAAGGCAGAAAAACGAAACTTTAGACTTGTCCTCTCTTTCCATTAGACTGATTCCCACCAGCACGCGTATTCACAGAAGTCATTATTTCAGCTAGTGCAAAGTACCCAACCTATGCAACCTTTGAAAATGTGAAGTTGTTATCTATGACTTTTTTTAAATGGCAGGTGCGCTAACACTTGCATTACTTAGCAAATTCATTTGCATGATTTTTTATTAAGTGGCTTTACTCAGCCTCAGTTCTGTTAAAAGCAACAAAGCCTCGTGTCTCCTAGGTGCAGGACAGAGCAAAAGTGACGCACCATGTCTGCAAATAAATTCATTTTCTCTTCATCATAAATCTGTATAACTCTAAAATCCCATATTGGATGGAAATATATTAGGTCAAATTTCTGTTGTACTAGAAACATAACGTAACAGACTTTATACTAGTACAGCATTCCTTCTCTTTAGATTTTCTAGTGTCTTTTTCAGAGTACATTCATTAAGAGGTATATGGGCAGTAACGCGTATTACTGTAACATGCAATATTTTAGGAGTGAGCTAGCATTTTACCACATTCAACTCACATTAATAAAGAGCAAAACTACAGCAGAAGCAGTAAAAGAATAAAACCTACATTATACAGCTAAAGCTTCTTTGAATTTGGCACAGCCAGAAAACCACTGTAAAGGGCTAAGTTAAGACAACTGAGACAATCTAATGGTTTGCTGCCATGGGAAAAAACAATCCCAAGATGTCCATCAGGACTGCAATCTACTCACTGTACCACCAGGGACCTACCATTAGATTCAACCCACCAGCCTGGGAGAAAAACTAGGCTTTCTTTTCTCTTCTGAACAAGTTTCTTTGCAAAATTTGTGAGTCAAATCAGCCCATCTTGAGGTCAAATAGCAGACACTGTAAGCAAAGAGGCAGAAACAAAAGGGGCAGTGAAAAGGAAGTTGGATCACTCTGACAGCGGCAACCACTCAGGATCCTCAAAATCATGTACTCAGAACCCCTACAACGCAGCACCCCTACAACGCAGCACCATAACTAGAGTGCATGATCTGCTACGCCAAGTCTCCTCAAGCTTTCATGTGTGCTCGTACAGCTGTGCAGACAACACTACGAACACACTTAGCTTGAAGCCAAATCAGCTTCTTAATTTAGCTGATCACAAACTAACACAAGCACTAGAGCCTGCTCAAGAAGAGAAGCTGAATATGACTTTCAATAGCTGCCCCAGTCATCTGTGGTAAAAAGCACTGTAAATTCCCCAAACATGATAGAGACAAGCATGAACAGGGAGCAAATATATACAGAGACAGCATACATTTGCCTTCATCCCCTCTTGCGAGCATGCTAGTTTAAGATCTTTAAATCTGTGACACAATCTTTAGTCATTCCTTCTTGTTTTATTCAGCCCAAATACTAGGCCTGCAGTATTAGGCTCAGTATTTTTTCTTTCCTTTCTACATACAAAACCAATAAACATATTGCTGGTTTTTCAGTAGAGATATATATATATGTGTATATATATATATATATATTAAAAGCCCTTTTCCTAAGTATCTTTGCAGCTCTGAATAAATTGTACCATCAGCATTACATATCAGCACACATTTTGGGGGGGCGGGAAGGGGTGAAATGAAACTACCTGCTACAGGTGGGTTTTTTTATATGCTACTTTCACATATAAATATCTCTTTTCTTCGGGGGGGGGGGGGGGGGGGGGGGAGTGGAGAAGAACCTGAATAGCACAATGCTGTTATTTTATGTTCTGAAACAGAAACAGTAGCATAGGAAAACATTTTGTAGTGTGGATACACGCTTCATTGGTATCAAATATTTAACTAAAAAGGACAATTTTACTTCAGGAAAAAATAACCTGGTATTTTTTTTCATGTTAACGTATTATTTGTACTTTCAGAAGGGATGCATCTAAGATAAGCATTTATGCATTGTTGTGACAGTTGCAGCATTTGGAGACCACAGCAGGACAAGAGATACAAATCAACTAAAGGGGACAGCACCCTTTGCAATTTTCATACAGTTTATTAGACTACTATCATCTGTAAGAGTTTAAGAATGGTCAGAATCCATTCAACCAATAAGTTCCAGCATTAACTAGTTATGTCTTTGCTTAGGAAAGAAAGTATGAAGGCAACTATTTTGGCACTTTAGGTATTCTCTCAATTTTTAGTAATCTGTTTTTCAAATTACATCTGCTGTATCAAGACAAAGCCACTTTAAAAAACATTGCAAGTCCTAAGACCTTTTGATAACCACACATAAAATTAAAGCAATTTTGTCCCTTAAAGAAGGAGATTCTTCTTAAATACTTATCTTTGGCC